AAATAATTCTTTTTTTTTCCCAGAATCTTGCTCTCTGATGTTCCGGTTTTAATAGCTTGTGGTTGCCACAATATTGTAATACCTTTTAAAAGTATCTTTTTATAGAATGAGCTAGTATTTAAAAAACAAAAATAACAAAGCCACCAATGAACTACTACTATTTGTCAGTAGTCTTTCCCATTTCAAGCAGAATGGGTGCCCTCTGCAGGTTACTATTTTCAGACAAGGATTTTGGATGCGTGCCCCCTATTATTTCTGTGTCAAGGTCTTTGCAGGATCAATCTGTACTATTTTGTGTGTTTTAAAATTGATACTGCAATCCTGTCTGCAAATTCCAGCAAACAAATGGCACTGAGTGTACCAAGCAGCCGGTTTGCATCTGAATATGATTTTTCCCTAAGGTGTGGGTGTGAGGAGTGGTGTTGGGTTGGTGCTGGAGTAAATATTTTTCCTGCAATTCGACAGTGTTTTCATTGTTGGGTTGGGTTTGTTTTAATCTTGGTTCATGGCAAGAAAGTAACTATAAGGCTGTCTACCACCAGAATGAAGGGAACAGGCAAAAAGGATGCAGTCTAAGCACTGCTGAGAAGGCATCTTGCTCCCTTAAAGAGGTCTTTCTTTGTGAATTCCACCTTCCTCTTTTTTCCCTGCAGTCGTGCCTCTGCAGGTTACAGTGTTCAAGGTCTCTGGAGTGTGTGAAGAGGGAGCTAGATGCCTCTCTAAGGCAGTGAAACAGCCCTTTCTCTGGCTCCATAACACAGTGTGTGCTCAGTGACACTCCAGGACAGTGTGGGGGGAGAGGAGGAGAAAAACAGGGATGCTGGTGAGGTCTGAGCTTGTACTTATGTCATAGTGGTAGTAAAAAAAACCTGCAGCTGGGCAGCAGCAGCAGCACAGCGAGTCTGGGGAGCAGGAGAGCATGTGGGGAACAGCCAAAGACATTGGCTACCTGCCTCTTCTGGAGAGAGAGAGACATGCTGACAGTAGCTGAATGTAGAGGCCCGAGAGCAGCCCAACTGTAATCTGAATTTGCGTATTTGTTTTCTCTTTCCTATCTCCCATCGCTGCAGTGACCATCTCGTAGCTGAGCACAATGCTTCACCTCATCCCAAAATGCTTTTTTGGCACAGCCAGCCTGAACATTATCACCACCAGCAGTATCCCACCAGCAACAACAGCTACCTGCGGTAAGTGAAGAATGGGGATGACTGTTAATAACAATAATAATAATAATGCTATAATAATAATAATAATAATAATACTATAATACACAAAAATGAAGACTGTATATGCAATCTCTGCTAATATACAAGTTGAAGCCTTCAAAGAGAGCGAGTGATTGGAAAATGATTGGAGCAGTAGAGTCAACATGGTGGAGGTTTACTTTGCTATAGCCCTACAATTTTCACAAGCCATGTCATTATATGTGCATGCTGCTAATAGTGTTAGGAATGTTTTACTGCTTAATATGATATTCACAGATATATTTTGTTTGGTTGAATTTTTTTTAAAAAATTACATTTGCAGTCTGTCGATAAAACTCCATTTATATGAAATAATACAGACTTAGAAATACCTGGATGTCTCATACCTACTTTGATTATTTGCTGGAGCTCAGTTGATCTGCAAAACCATGATTTTGTGCTGTTTGTCATATCAGTCCAGGCTAAATGCTTTGCATTGAAATTCTGATGCAATATACAACTTATTGCATCAGCATATTCCTGTAAGCTATGAACCTACTTAACCTCTGCATGATTGAAATATTATTTGTGTACAGTATTCAGATTTTCTTATCATTAAAAATGATTGTGCTTTGACAAGAGCTAGGCTTATAGATTCCAGATAATCTTGATGTTAATTAAGTTTCAATTTATAATGTCACTCTTTGTGTTAAGCTTATTACTTTTTGGCTAAATACAATGTATATAAACATGACAGTGTTTAATCATCTATCTTGACGTGGCTCTTTCTGTATTGGTAGAAATACTTACAAGTATTGCTGCATCACAGCATTACTAGTTCTCCTGCAGAATTGTTGAGTAGCATGTTGTTATTAGAAATGTGTTAAGTTTTAGATTGTAAAACAAACAAACCAACCAAAAAGAAACCCAAAGGAATTGAGGCTATACTTGGGTTCCAAAGTACAAAACAAATGAAACTGCAGTGGAGTTTTATTAAATCAATCATTCTCAGGACAAAGGTGAGAGTGATTTGAAATTTAGATTGGCTAGCACAAATAGATAGCAAACACACCACTGTTTCTATTGACTCAAGCAATAAAGCAGAAATGAAGGACAGGTGATCGAGTTCCCTGACGCAATCTTGTTTACAAGTGACATGCTCCGCTCCAGCACAAAAGGAACCAAACCACAAGGGAAAGTAAGGGTGTCCACACACTCCTCCAGTCTTCCCTTCTTCAGCCTCTGTTCAGCCACGAGGAGGTTGGTCCCCTCACAGCTTTTTTCAGGGCCTGTTTTCACTCTGTCCTTGACACCCTGTATTTCCTTTTGCTTTCCCACCCTTATCTAAAAATCTGCCATTTGAGTCACTCTGAAGTTGCTCTTCCCACACACTTTTGAGCAGCCTTTAGGTTTGGATGGCAGCCTGCATCTGTGTTTTGGTATTGAAATACAGCATAGAGGGGACCCTTCTATCAATTATGGGCCATGTACATGGAGCTGATCTCTAATGAAATTGCCCCTCGAGGCCAACTACCTTGAGGAGAAAGAACACAAACCAGTTCAGGCACGAGGCTTCAGTCTGGCCTTAACCACTGAGTTGCTTGGCTCTGTCCACCTTTAGTGAAACACCACACCTCAGGACATCAGTAAGGCTCATAGAGGAGCAATCAACCTCAGGGGAGGATGCCAGCCAGCATTAGTGATAAGCAGATGGAGAAAGAAATGTCACAGGATCCCCACATCCCAGCAGAACTGTACTGAGAATGCATTTTTTTGCAGATCTATTGGCAAAATCAGACTCCCACTGTTTGCACTTTCTCTCCATCATATCATGTCTCCAGTTCCAGTTGCTGGGTCTGCAGAAGTGGAATGGCAGGGCCACAGGCAGTGTTGTCTGTGACAGGTTAGACATGTGGATCTGGCCTGCTCAGAAGCAATTTGTGTGCATTGCTGATACTCAGCTGAGGATCTGAGACTGGGACTGATCAAGGAACCTGCCCCAAAGAAACACATCACAGGCCTGTACTTTAAAAACAGCAAAAACCAAACAACACACACCTCTACAGAAAACTTGTTTGAATGAGCCAGGGATACATATAATGCTAAAAAAAAAAATACCTTCCCTTTAATATTCATGCTTTAACAGAAAAAGGGCATTTTATGTCCTAAAATAGCTAAAGAAAGTATCTTCAGAAATACTAGTAGTCATTTAATTCATTACAGACAAGCTACACCCAACTTTTAAATGACTGAAATGCAAGAGGATGGGTTTCACTGTATCCACTCAGGATACTCTCAGGAATGGTTGGAATTTATGGCACGAGAAAACAATTCCCAGTATAAAAATCACCAATTTACGATCTTGTAACTGCTATGGCAGCTATGTTAGCATAGGTCTAGTAAGCAGAGAAACCAGTTCTGCTATGCATAAATCAAACTGTATGTGGCTTCTCTGCTCTTAGACCTGTCTTATCTGCCAGAAGTAGAAAGTGCACTACTTGCAGTTTCCCCACAAACCTTCTTTTGTAAAACTTAAAAAAGGGGGGGGTTTGTGTTATTTCTGCTGCCTGGGTATTGTTGTCATCTTGTGAGGCTTAAAAGATGAATTTTGCCTGTGTTAATTTCAGTTCTTCTCACTAAAAGCTGTAACATGCTAGCTAGTGCGTATGTCAGTGGCCTGTCCATGAGTCTTCTTCATAAATTTCACTTTTCCTAGCCTTTCCCTTATATGCAGGTGAACTCTTCATCTGTACCCAGACAGCCAGAGCAGAGAACTCTTACAGAAATTAGAGCAGGAAAAACACCAGTAACCTTTTTTTTTTTTTTTTTTTGTGAGAAGATGACAGTCATGTTTTAACTTACAAACTGACTTTAAAGATTATAAATCACAGTCTGTGTACCTCTTTATATTTGAGGTTGCCATATGCACATTTAGAACAACAGCTAGTATTTTGTTAACCATTAATGAACTTAGGGCCTTCCTGCCTTTATCTTTTGTAAAACTGGTGCAATTGTACTCAATGCATGTTACTATGGAATCAAAATACATTTTACAGTCTTAGTCCTGTTCTGTAGTTTGTTCTCTGGACATAACATTTTAATGAAGTGTCTCAAAAAATTTTATAAGTATTCTCTGAATTCTTAAATGTGAGGGGGATTTTTTTGAGAATAGGAAGGGGCCCTCATCAGTATCCATCACTATCTGAAGGGCAGGTGTCAAGAGGACAGAGCCAGGTTCTTCTTGGTGGGGCCAAGCAATAGGATGAGAATGGCAAAACTGATGCTCAGGAAATTCCACCCGAATATGAGGAAAAGCTTCTTTACTGTGTGTGTGGTGACTGAGCACCAGAACAGATTTCCTGAAGGGTTTGTGGAGTCTCCCTCACTGGAGATATTCAAGCACCCTGTGGATGCAGTCCTGTGCCATGTGCTCCAGGGTGGCCGTGCCTGAGCAGGGAGGTTGGATCAGATGACCCAGTGTGGTCTCTTCCAACCTGACCCTTGTGTTCCTTGAGGATCCCTTCCAACTCAGAATGTTCAGTCAATCTATGGGGTTTGGGTGTTTTTCCGGGAAGGCTCCTAGATGTTCTCTGGAAAAAGTAACCGTGCAACGGTTTGGGTTGGGACGGGACCTTAAAAGCTGATCTCGTTCCAGGGCCCCCAGCAATGGGCAGGAACACTTTCCACCGAACCCGGCTGTTCAGGGCAGTCACCGCCCTCTAGGTCATTGGGAGCGAACGGGGCCCGGCCCTGCGGGGCTGAGGCGGCG